TTCATGGATAAATTGTTTTTCACATTTTTTTTTCTTTTTGCTATTACAAAGCAGCAGACTTTAATTTCTAATCATCTATTCACGCTATTACATACTCAATTAAAGTAAAACACGTGCATTGCACGTGCGTCGACTAGTTTTATATACAAAGCTTCAAACAAAGACGGCGTGAATCTAGAGGAGTTACTTTCATACTGGCACGTAAAGTTACTGTCCACTGTTTGTAAAACAAAAGCAGAATCAGAAGCATAATATATATTCTCAACCTCCTGCTATAAACTTCAGCAAAACAATCTCGTTTATAGTTTGGTACGGTTTCTTTTCTTGACCGGTGAATGCTAAGCAGGGCTTTGAAGAGATGCTTACTTTTTCTCGAATGCTGATCGATTTCTCTTCCTCCGTTTATCTCGGGTTTTATGGACATTGAAATCGCCCTTCGAGGCTCTGATGGACACTGTAATTGCACAAGGAGAATTCCAGCTGTTACTATTAGAATGTAAGAAGTACATGAGAGTATAGTTAACAAGACTTTAGCTCTGTTATTGACCATAATATTAGTCCATGCTATCCAATTCTTCTTGCCAAACATATGCTTATAATTTCAGACATCCGTACTTACCCGCTGTTTATTAGTCCTAGAGCTTGGAGAACTTGATCTACTGGTAATGGATCTAGAACGATTAAATGTGAAACAAAGTGGTGAAATCGAGCGTTTCCCTGAAGTAAATTAAATGTAATCAATAAAAGTGCCAAGTAACATTACCAAATAATTCGGCTTAGAAATCAGTCTATAGATGCAAACCTGTTTTGATAGATTCAATTCTTGTGAATGAAAATGTAAGAGAACTAGGAGAAGACTCAGTTGAAGGTTGCCCCAAATGCCCTTTTCTGCATCAAAACTCGGATGGTCAGATGGATTTCTACGTCAAAAAAGAATAACCTAATATTCTTGATATCAACATGTACCTCGAGAATTGTGGATGCAGTTTTAGTGTTGCAGCTTGGAAAGCTTTAGCAAAAACATTATCTGCCAAACAAGTTGCTGCAAAAATTGATGTGCTAGAAAGTAAAAACCGTCTGCTAGATGGTATTTTAGTGTCACGTTGCAAATTGGATGAATGGTTTTTAGTAGAAAGCAATAAGAAGATAAATTTTTATTTTTTTTCGATCTCATTTACTCGTCTTGGAATCTCAGTAAGTCGACAGTAGTGGCCAGTGGGGTAAATAAAAGAGAGGGGAAGGGACTCGGGAATGAATGGAGAATGTTTTACTTCGTAATAAATGAGATCATACGGATGCCTAGGTAATGAAAAAGATATCACAAAAAATAAATAAATAAACAAAACGAAATTAATGAACAATGCTAATACAAACTGCTCTTTTCTAGAAAATTTAGCCCCTGTTCAAGCTCCATTTCTTGAGAATAGATTTTGTAAAAAGTGATTTTTTTGAAGAATGTATGATTAAAAAGCAGAAAAAAATTTTAGGTTTACATATAAAATTATTTTATTAGGAGAATTAGTTTGGAGAAAAATGGGTTTTAAGGAATGCACTCAAACAACGGCTTAATTACATTGTTGCATTTGAAACACAAATGCAGCTCTATCAATTACCTCGTTTGGATTGGTGCAGATCGTCCCACTCCCCAGAACACAATATGCAATCTCTATATATGGACTTTGATACGCCACCATGCAAAATCTCTCCTGCTGAATGAGAAAAAGTTGCCATCGAGCAGATGAAGTCTATTATTCATCCAAAGTTGTCATTAATATTAAATTGAAGGGAATCAAGCATGTTTGGCTGAGCTTAAAAAAGGTAGTATTCCGTTTCTTGACATTAAGTAAAGAAGTAATAGTAACTGAAAGTTCAAAAAAGTAACTTATGAAAACCTTAAACATGTTTGCTAAATTAACTTTTAATCTTAGCCAAACATGTTCGTCCCAAGGCATGTTGCAAACCTCGTGTAAGGCAACAGGAGAAGAGCATGATTACCTGGAATAATGTAGTGTTTATGATGCTTTGGCGTTTTTATGATCAATGATTGTTGGGAAAGGCCGCTCAAGTCGATGAATCCTTGATATGTTTTTAATCTCTACACAGGCCATTCATAGAGGAAATTTTCATTATGATCCAAGCTTTTGACAATATGGAAGATCATAATTCAGAAATAAACTATAATATTTTCTGTTAAGAGGTTTTTGAGTAAATTCCACTAGTTCTTGCATAGTGTAAACATAATTCTCGACTTCAAAACTTCGACTCGGGGCCTGTTCTATCAACTGACCATAATGTAAAAGAAATGTTGGATAAAATGGCACTGTTGGAACCGGTCAGGTTTGAAATGATCAATAGAAGTTTTGCAGACTCATTTATGGCCTACAAAACTAAGAGCATGCTTGGTTAAGTTTGAAAATAAAAGTATTTTAGTGAGTTCTAGAACTAAAAACCCAAAAAAGGTAACCTTTAAAAAAGCTCAAGAATGTCTCGTGGGAAAAACTAAAAAGTAACTTTCAAGCTTAGTCTCAATTTTTAAGGCCTTGATTTCTTTTCCCTTAGAATGACAAATTAAGGTGTTTTCAAGAGGGCACTATATAAACGAGTGGAAATATTTCTAGTTTCTATCTGTTCAATGCAAGAAAATCGAAGCTTTGTTTCAGATAATTCAATAGCCTTTTCATCCAAGAATTGCCCAAGTTTATCAGCTATAGAGCCCAAGTGATCCACAGCACTAATAAGAGCTTTTGTAGCATAATCTTTCGAGGTCTCCACAACGCTATACACATAATCATGAAGATTATAAGAAAAACACAATTTCAAAATTAAAATTGACACAATTACAAAATGTAACATGAAATTGGAAAATCTTGATAACGTACAATTGCTTGTGATCGTCTTTGTCATAGGAGACCTTAAAATACTCTGCAGCAGAGTATAATTGTTTTCTCAGATTCTTCAAATCCTAAAAGTTAAAAGGAAGATTTTATACATCAAAAACATATTACAAATGCCAACTGAACCAATATTGAATCATATAATTTGAACTCACGGACAAGTTTGACTAAGCTTGGTAAGTAAAATATAAAATGAGTTATTTTCTTCATTGATCAAACTTCAGCTTTAGAAACAAGTTACTTGACCTAAAAAAGGTTCTTTTTAAGCACCTTTTAAGTTTAAGAGCATCTCCAAGAGACTCTCTATTTTTAAAGAGCATATTCTATCATTTGGAGAGCATCTATAAATTTAAAGAGTTAAAATTTTGATGTACTCCAACAAACTCTTTATATTTAACACTTAAATTTACTATTCCCAAAAAATATTTATTATTTTTCTTTATCTTTTATTTTAACTAGTTTTTCTATAGATTATTTTATTGCTTTTCTACATTGAAAATTGAAACTTTTTGAATGCATTTAATTATAGAGAGTGAGTTTGGCTCTCCAAATTTGGAGAGCCAAACCCACTCTCTAAATTAAAATCTTAATTTAAAGAGTCTATTGGAGCATGATTTTACATGTTGACTCTTTAAAATAGAGAGCATCTCATGTTTAAAGAGTCTGTTGGAGATGCTCTAACCAAACATGCTAGGTTAGAGCATTTTCAAAATAAGTAACTTTTTTAATTTTAAAAGTAAATTTCACTTATTTTTAAGCATAGCCAAACCTATGAAAAGTGACATAAGTACCTTCAAGCTATCAGCAAAGTGCGATCTTTGCTGCGTGAAGCCGTTAGGGATTATTGGGAGCAATTATCCAAGGTCCAAGCCAACACTACTAGGCCCAAGTGAGGTTCCATCCCAAAACCAATTGGTAATGGGTGGAGTAGCCCACTTGGGTTATAAGGTGGATTTTCTTTCTATTCACAACCGATGTGGGATACTTGTTTGCCCCAACAATCCCTCCCTCAAACAAGGCTCACGAGGTAAATCACCATTCATTGAGATAATCCATCGTAACCTGCACCCATTACGTTACCATGGATCTACCATTTCGTGAGAATTTTCCACCACCTCGATTTATCTAGTCAGACAACCTAAGCTCTGATACCACTGTTAGGGATTATTGGGAGCAATTACCCAAGGCCCAAGCCCACACCACCAGGCCCAAGTGAGGTTCCATCCCAAAATCAATTGGTAATGGGTGAAGTAGCCCACTTGGGTCATAAGGTGGATTTTCTTTCTATTCACAACCGATATGGGACATTTGTTTGCCCCAACAATTGTTGGATAATTGCCTCAAAAGTCAAAAATTGGAAGACTCCTATTGCAAATAATAAAAGGTGTTTATTATAAATGGGTGAAATGAAAATAAATTTCAAGGAAAGTAATTGTTTAGAAATTATTTTGTAGGAAATTGTGAATTAAGTGTGTTTGATTAGTATAATCTTCCATCCAAAAAATTTTAAAATTTTATGTCTGTTTGACTTTGTTTTATATGAAAATTGTCCATTAAAGTGATAATTTTTTCCACAATTAGTTATAAAATTTGTTTCTATTGCTAAAAAGTAAAAAAAAATGAAAAAAAAAATTGTTTCCTAAAAAATTATTCTTTTATCAAAGTTTAGTATTCGTTTGGATTTGTTTTACATAAATATTGTCCATTAAAGTGAAATTTTTGTTTACAATTGGTTATAAAATTTGTTTCCATTATATAAAAAAAAAAAAAAATAGAAACCTGAAATTCAATTTTTCCACCAAAAAGGTGGGAAAACATTTTCATCAATTGCATGGAAAAAAAAGCGAGTGGATTCAAACATGGAAAACATTTGGGTGGCAAAATTTTGTCAATCAAACACCTTGATCATTTTCCATGGAATTCAATGCCAATCAAACAGGGCATAAAAGCATTCGTCACAGAAATGAGCGAATTGGACAAGGGACAGAGTAAAACTAATCTACATTTTTTTATCGATAAATATAAACTATATTGATCAAAAACATGTACAAGTCCATCGGGAATATCCAAACAAATAAAGATCAAGTGTGTATATAATTACATCGGGCATATCCGAGCAAACAAAATGAAAAGATATACAAACGAATGGATCTAGCAACATAATGTCATAGACTCAGAATGAATGATAACATACAGATACAAATAAAACATAATTTTGTATACGTGTGTTTTAATCCGTCTAACAATCAACTTGCGGTCTTAGATTCTAAAAAAATTTCATGTTTCGTGCCATCCGTAAGTGGTAGACAGTGCTAGCAAGTGTAATTCGCTTTACCTTACTTTGCCAAAATATGTCTCAAACCTCCTTTTTAATCCACTTCAATGCACTAGGTAGTGTAGTCATAGAGCGTTTAATGCCAAGCCACGCACGAACCTTCCCCCATACGGATGCATCGAACTGACGTGTGAAAAAAGGTGTTATTCAGTCTCCACCGTAACTCCACAAAAACTGCAATTTCGATATGGAAGATGCTACATGTACTTCCTATTTTACTACATGGGTTACTACATGGCCATGTAGTAATACATTTAGTAAAATAGGAAGTAAACATAGATTAATCCTTCCGGTATATCTCCGAGTGTCTTAGTTTGTCCTTAATTAACAACTTGGAATTAACTCCAAGCTATAGGATAAAAGCATGCTTAGGGATGACGAAAATGTTCCAAACAGTTGCTCCCAAGTTGCCTTCGGCCCCTTCAGTTTGAAATATTCATAGGCAGCACAATGTTGAAACTGCCTGAGGCTGTCTCGCCAACTTGCTTGTTGCGGCCGAACAGTATGCTGTTCAGGGTGTGAAATCTGGTGACGTATTTCTAGCAGTCTTTTATTCCTTGTCGAACATTCCCAATTGTCTGTCCCACGTAAAAAAAAATTGATTTACCCACTTTACCCAAAGAGTATGCTTCTTGCGATGAATATTCCAAAGAGTTTTAGTAAGGAGTACCGCGTTCCAACATTTAATATCTCTAAATCCAAGCTTCCTGTATAAGACAAAGATACCAGTGACCATGCTCCAATATAGGCCTAAATTTTGTTAATAAAAAAGTCATAAAAACTAACTTTCAATTTTTCTATCACAAGTGGTATTCCCAAATAACAAAATGACATAGAACCCCTAGCCATATTAGTTAATTGGTGAATATCCTCTAACTCTTGTCCATAAATTCACATTGTATACAAGTTGGATTTGTTCACATTCATTCTTAATCCCAACACGTCTCCAAAGTTGGACAAGCACTCCACCAAGATACCAATCGAGATAATATCCCCCTAGCAAAAAATCAAGTCATCTGCTATGTTAGATCTTAGTGCTTTTGACTGTGCTCGTAAGTTGTAGATTTTACGAAATGTGTAAATAATTTAAGCTTCGCCAAACATGCTCTTTTAGTTATGTGAAATCAAGCAATTTAGTACATCACTTTATAAAACGTATTGTCCGGTCAGGGTTGGTTTGATGTTTAATTCTATAGCAACTATTATAAATGCGATGCCATTACAATCTGCAAATTAATCATCACCACTAGAAGTGATGTTTAAAATTCCGAGTTGTTTTACATGAGATGCTGAACGAAAGGCGAGCAACGGATAAGAGCAAGCCTAGTAGAGAGCATAACCTTGTCAAGTGGGCTCGACCACTTCTAATCCAGAGTAAGAAGCTCTGGAGAATACTGGATCCAAGAATTTAAGGACAACACTCCACTAAAATTCTTATGAAGGTGGAAAATCTTGCATACCAATGTCTAAGCCAAAATCCGAAAGGGATGCCCCGTAATGAGTCAAGCTGTTGAAATACTCGAAACCCTTCTAACACAAATAGCGAGCCAAAACGAGGCAATTGTACAGAGCAGCTGTGGATTTGTAACCCTTCACGAAGTTCCTGAAAGCTTTCTGGAGGGTTAATACCCTAAATAGTTATTGAACTTTTCCAAAAGTTCCCTGAATAGTCACTGAACTTTGCAACAAGTTCTTAGGAGGTCACTGAACTTCGTTAATACCCTAAATAGTCACCGAACTTTGCCAAAACCTCCTAAGAGGTCACTGAACTTTGTAAATTAAGACCCCACACATCAATGGTTCATTGATCAATTAGGAATTTTTTGCAAAGTTGAGTGACTATCTAGGAAAGTTTTGACAAAGTTCGGTGACTATTTAGGGTATTAACGAAGTTCGGTGACCTCCTATAAACTTATTGCAAAGTTCAATGACTATTTAGGGAACTTTTGAAATTCGGTGACCTCTTAGGGTATTAACCCCCTTCTGGACACTCCAAACGAAAGGAGAGATTCCCTCAAAAGTGCAAGTGATGCTGAAAAACACAGATCAATGGAAGTAGCGAAGTTAGCTTCCCATGGAGCGCGACCTTTACAATCCTCCACAGGATCTTCTAGGCGAGATATCGCCCTCTACAGGGCGATGAAGCCTGCCAATAAGTAGGGAAAACTACAAACGGTACATCTGCAAAACAAGTGAATACATGTTGCCTCGTCCAATTGCTCCTTTTTCTTTGCAATCCTATGTTCAGTGGAACTTGATGATCACTTAATCATGTATACAGTTCTATAATTTTTCTCACAAATTGTTCCAACGTTTTGATAACATAAATCTGAAATCTTGGTGATTAAATAAAGAAAACAATTATTCCACAAAGTATTACTGTCCACCAATCGATTTTACAATATAGTACCTTATCCATAAGTATGAGCACACTGATAAAACCAGATATAAAGAAAGAAAACTTTTTGTAGTCGATTTCCATTGTTTCCTAAAAACTGAGCACGAACCATTATAAGAAATGAGTAGAAACATATTGAACTAGTTTCTGTACTATTGGCCTTCTTCCATTGGATCATCACGGTTGCACGCCTGAGATCTTAGATCACTGCCCGATTGCCCAGACTCATCAGACTCGGATGTTTTGGAAACAGAATCTTCAAGTGCCTCAAGAAATGAAGGCACGGTGAACTTGTCTGCAATAAGGGAAAATAATGAAATCATCGACCATACTTCAGACAAATTTGAAAGCAGCAGTATACAATGATTTAGTGATGGAACTCCAACGTAAATGGACATAGTGTATTAATAGCACTAAATTAAAGTTGTGGCCCACACGGCTGAAATCCTTGTAATTACAGGTTCCATTAAACCAACAAATCGACAATGTAGTTAGCACATTAGAAGTATAGAACTGTTAAGGATTATAGGGCGAGTGTTGGAACGTGGATATACAGAGATGACCCGTCATTAAGACAAGGATATGAAGGAAGTTCAGTCTCCAAAAGTAACGGAAAGGTCTCAAAAAGAGTTTTTTGTGGGGGAGCTACGGATTGAAGCTGCAGTTATACCCCATGGGTAAGATGGAAATCCTCATCACTTACATTTGGTTGGATCGATTCCAAACTGAGTAAGATCTACCTGTCCAGTTCGCAGCACCTATAGTAAAAAGGAATACACACAATTTATCAACAAACACCAAAGAATAAAGCCTAAAGAAAACCTCAACAAAGAATTTCTAGGTGTTGAAGCCTCACATAAGTAAATGAATCTAATTGTTGGCGAAATGGAGGGCTCTGTAGCAATTCTATTAACTCCTCTGGAGTCCAATGACCCTGCAACCTCACAAGAATCTCACGAATTGGAGGAGATATAAAGCAGTGACAACTTTGGAGAAATGTGAATGTCAAATTTTTACCTCAGGTAAATATGACACCAATTGTTGTTCCAATGGTAGTTCACCCATGAGTGGCAATATAAACTCTGGCTTCAAAATATCACCTAATCCCAAGCCTAGAAAACCAGAAGCTTTAACAATTTCCAGTAGAAGAGAAGAGCCATAATTGTCAAACAAAGCCAAGTTGGATGGTGTAAGGTTAAATATCAGAGGGATGTAATGGATGAGTAGAATCCTTATATGCATAGTTCCATTATGTTATACACTTAGCGTAATATAAGATTGTCTAAATAAAATTTCTCATAGCATGAATGGCAGAAATTCACTGAGCACAGAATATATTAGCAAACAAACGAGACTCCACAAAATTTGAGTAAATTTAAAATGTAAACATAATTGAATCTCCAACATCTTGATGTTGCAGAAAATTTACCAGATCTTCAAAAATACTTGTTTACATAGAACTATTACCGAGCCAAATCAAATAGACATTAGACATGATTGACTACATTCTTATGCTACAAGGTCACTGCAAGTGTAGTTGTGATACGGTAACCCGTAGACCAACTTTACGAAAAGTTTAGTATTAATCAAGAATACTACACTGTATGTACATACCTGCCTCTGGATCTCCTGCTTCATCTATGTTAGAATGAAGAAATAGAACATTTTGTCAGCTGAGAATAAGTTGAAAGCAAGAGTACACGCAGCAGCTAGTTGTCACAAGAGAGTACCTGATGATCCTATGTTACTTAATATTCTCTGCAGATCTGCCAACTTTACTGGCCCGGAAGAGGTTACTTCACTAGTTCCTTCAGCACCCATGCTTGGGCCCACCAAATTTCCAGCCCTATGAAAGTAGAAACAGCTATTTGATCAAAGCATTCTTCATTGAGGTCCTGTGGTGGTACTGGAACAATGCTTTTTCTTCTTCTTCATTACTTGATTAATTGATTTGCTTTTCTTGGTTGGGCGTTTTAAGGTGAAAAGGAGCGGGAAATTGATTAAATCAGAAGAAGTATCTTCAGGTTTGTTAGCAATATCGTCTAAATTTCTAATCAACATAAAAGGAAAATACAGAATGACAGGTAAATATATCACAAGTTTGCTCTTGAAGATATTATCCACGCTCACCATCAGATACAAGCTCTCTCTATTTTGTCAATATTACCTTGAAGAAATATCTTCTTCAACCATATCTTCTATACTCGGCACAGGAACGGAAGCATCAGGCTCCTCTTCATCAGGTAACTCTAATAACCACCAAATCCAAAATTAGATCCAAGTTGATAGAAGAATGCCACACCAATAAAGGTAAATGATTTCTGATCCCTGTTACTATATATATAGGGCAATTTATATATATATCATTCTATGCAACGTGAGCTATTAAAAATCCACACATGACTCAATTGCCCAACTTTTAAATTCTTCCAATGATCATATAATGCAACAGGCAGCAGCAACACATGTTGCAAAGTTATGGAAGGAAAAAAAAAAAGCGAAGCAGATTTTTCCAAATTGTAGATGAGTTTTTGAATACCTAGAGGCTGATTCAGGTACAAATTGACGGAGGTACATATCTGTGTATCACTTTCTGATTTGGGTTCCTAGAACCAACAAAAGTAACAAGTGTTAGCATGATAGCATCTCAGACCATTTGCATATTGACTAAAGACAAACATCATAGACCTGCATCCAAAAGAAGAACTTCCTGTCATCCGTATGAAACTTCAGGATGTAAACCCTTCCAGAAGATTGATTAACCTGAACAAAATAGATAAATCAAGAATCAACTGAAAATATTATGAATTTGAAAAGAAAAAGAAAAAGATCTTATCGACAATGGACAACACAAGACCAAAAAATATGTACCTTTTCAAAAAATGCTTCATCTGGAAAGACAATTTGATCCTGCATACAGCATATGTTAAGAAATAAGTTGAAGCGAAATGAGAGTAGATAAAGAGTAGTAATATCAGATGTAACAGAACCAAGATAAATGATAAATGGAAAAAGAACAAGCATCAGGTTTCCATCGTCCTAATAAAGACATAAAACAGCATACATCTTCAACAATGTTCACAGATCGATCCAGCCACTGAAAATGGATTAGCCCTTCTTCACCCTATCAAAGACAGGAAGACAGTTCTAGTCAGGATGTAAATTCAACAATTATAATATGAAGTAAACTGAACCCAAACATAGGAAATACTCAAAAAAATAAACATAAACACAAGGACAAAATGAACAGAGACAATTTTATCACTCATACCCTTCCCATTCGCACAAGTCCTTTACGAGAATCAGGGATAACACGGTTTCCCTCCATAAGCATTTTCCCTGCATGAAACTCCAGCAATACTTCCTGTCCAATGGAAGAACAGACTGTTATCTAATCACAGGTCCTAATCATAGGAATAGAACAGAATATATATGTTGAACAAATCAATGAGGATATAAGAACTTGACACGTGATCTTCATCTCAATGTTATTGTAGTAACTCAAGGTAACAATACAAACTAAAGAAACCACTCCCACTCCCACTCCCACCCCACCCCCAACACACGCACACACCCCATACCAAAATCAGGTAAGTGAAATCCTATATCATTGCTCCTACTAATAAGTAGCAAACCAAATCTACCAAACTTATGTAGCCTGTTGCTACTGTAAACAACAAAGAGTGTCCAAGTAACAGGAAAAAATCTTCTCTATATGAGAAATAAGTGATCACGAGTCTTGTAGTGAAGCACATATCAGAAGAAGATAGCTTGATAAATCTTTGCACTTGCAACCACATAGTGTCTTAACTCAAACAAAGTAAAGAATATCATTTTCAAAGGAGCAAGAGCCTTACACCTGAGGCGTACCTAGTACGAGGTGCTCATTAGAAACTCAAAATGATTACACTTCGAATTCCGTTAGACAAGGCTTAGGCCATGAACTTAGTGTATGTTTGGTAAATCTTTTTGTAGATTATAAGTTGTGGGCATTGAGTTTCTCGACCCTTTAACTTAGGATTAGTCAGTTCTATTTCTCGATGGGGGCAAGGAAGGGATATAACTCAGCGGTAGAGTGTCACCTAGTTGCCATCGTTGAGTTTGGAATCCTGAACAGACTGCCGGTGATAAGCCGAAAGAAGGTGAGGATGACGTCAAGTCATCATGCTCCTTATGCCCTGGGCGACACACGTGCTACAATGAAGGAGCTAAATGAAATATGTTATTTTTATACATATATTTAGAAAGCATTTACCTAAATTTCTATTTTTGTAAAATAGGAGGACACCAACGAGTAAAATCTCCTTGAGCTTCAGGACAAAGATTGGCCCTCGAGTTCATAGGCAGAAGGGAGCTTGACTGCAAGACCCACCATTCAAGCAGGGACTAAAGTCGGCCTTAGTGATCTGACGGTGCCGAGTGGAAGGGCTTCCTACGGAAAGTGTCCATAAAAGTTAAGGGTCCTAGGGAATATGTGAAGAGAAGTGATGTTTGACCAACATATAACCTTAAAAAAGCTTTGTCAATCATTCACTTAGTGGGGCATGTGCCTTGATTTATGCTTTGAGTTCCTTTAGCTTGCATTTTCGGATACTTCTTCGCCGGCCTCAACTTTTTGACCTAGTTATCATAACCTAGAACATTTTAAGGATTTTTGGATTGCTTTATTCACACCCCAACCTTGAAAAACTAAAAAGAAAAAAATGGAGATAAAAGAAGAGAATGGTTGAAGAGCCTGACCTGCTCCAACACTCTACTCCACAACTGAAGTGTGATCTTCCAAGTGAAGTTGCAACATTTTAATGGCAGATAATGACTAGCAACATGCATATTGATTCTTCTTCTTTATATTTTACTTGTTTTTGCCACTCTTTATTTTTTTCTTCTAGCTGAGTTACATTTCATTTTAAAGCCAAAGCAAAAAAAGGAATTCCTAAATAGTGGGTGAATCGTTTCATTTGGTTTGGTTCCAGTTGTGAAATAGTGACCGTGTTACTTGATTACTGCTTTGTGTATTTAAAAACTTTGTTTCTAGTTGCAAAAGACTTAACCTCGTTACAAAGTTCTACTATGGATTTTTTTAG